TACGTAATATTTATCGGCAATACGAATAAAAAATTCGCGAAGTCATGGTGTCTCATTATATTGATATAATAAATCTGTATTTTTTATACATACATATATAAATGAAGAAAACAATAACTGAATGAGTCTCAGGCATAAGTTTTTTTTCTTACTTCGTTTCATCTTTCGGAAAATGATGATACACAGCCGTACATAGCACAATTCACGACCATTATAAATAGTAACGTAAAATGATGTTTTATATTAACGTACAAATTTCGTAATGAATAAGTGAAAACTTTATTCAAATATCAAAGCCGTCTTCGCAAGAAAACGGCTCGCTGGCAGCCTTGTTGTCGTTCAGTCAATGTGACCGGCAATGTACGGGGCGTGGTGCGGTATCTAAAACTAGGGAGGGGCGGAGTGTCCGTTCTCTTATTCTTTATTCTCTGTCCTAGATTTAAAAAATAAGTTTCGAGTCTTAAAATAGAGCAAGATAATAGAGCCAATAAAAGTTTTAAAAAAACTACCTTAAGCAAAGCCGACAAGGTCTCGTCGTCGCCACGCGTTGCCAGCTCGTGCACGGCGTTCGGGTCCAATACAATTGTGCCCTCTTGTTCTTCGGCTACTGATTCGTTCGTTTCCTCAACTTCCGGCTCCTCGGTAGTTAGCTGGAAGTAAATATAGGCAATTATCGAAACGCAACGACCTTAGCTTTCTCGGAATCCATTCATATTGCATTGTAGCGAACGTTTAGTAGCGATATCTCTTTTTCATTTTATTGAATATACTATCGTGATGTTTTTATAACCATAATATTTATGCTACATCGATGTCCATCAATTTAGTTGTTTATTTTTAAACGATAATTCGATTCGAATTCATACGAATGAAACAATTTCTGAACGTAGATTGGCGTAACTCCAGACACTGGAAGAGGGTCTCAGCTGTCTTTGTTGAAAAGAAAGGTTCTTATTTACAGGTCCGGCGGAACGTTTACTGTTTATCCGAATTCATCTTCATTATTTCGTACTGTTTTAGTAGCTGTAGAGCTCCTTGTGAAAGAGTTCGTCCAGGGAAGTACTGCCACCTTCCTATTTCTGCCGCCAAGCAAGAGTGAGAGCATTACTGCGTTCCGGTTTGGAAGGGAAAGGATGTTGGTAAAATTACAGGCACATAGGACTATCAATTTGTCTCACGGTGACGGGCGCAGTGGCAATGCCCCTCAGATTTTTAAGGCCTTGTAGACAGGAGTGTAGCTTACCATTAGGCGGATGACTCGTTGGTTCCGTCACTTGATATTATAAAAAAAAATGATAATAAATAATCCTAACATATGACTGCGCGTCGAGAGAATCTGCTCGGTAGCGCCGATTGCTACATCGATTTCAATCAATTTAGTTCTTGATTTTCTAGTGTTATTGAGTATCGACAAATGTGTGTCAGGAAATGGAAAAAAAATGTTAAGTTGAGAAATGGCATTGGTCGCATAAGTTTACAAAAATAGACTACAGCTACATACCATCTCATGAACTTCATTAGGCCTGGTGAGCTCCAACAACGCGCAAAGCACGCGTCTGTCGCGCGCCCAGCGCGTGCAGCTGGTCTCGCCTGCTAGCTCCGGCATTATGCTTTCCAGAGGTGACGGATCCACGCCTGAAAATGAACAATATAAATTGTAGCTTTAATAGTACAAGAGGTGAATGTACCCATATTTCAAATTTTCCTTTTATATATCATTTATTAAGTGCCTCCGTGGCTGAACGGTTACCATGCCGGACTGCCACGCAGAGGTCCTGGGTGCGATTCCCAGGCCGGGAGAAGTATGTGTATGGCCTACATTTATTTCTCTCGCGAGTTTGGGTGTCATTTGTGGTTGTCTATGTGTGTGTTCATGGCACCCGCGACTCAGGGTTTCCCTAGTGCAGGGCTATGAGTGTGTTGCGTTATTGAGACGAGACGACACGCCTGTCTATGACAGTTGCAGTGCCACTCAGAGCTTTAAATCGCAAAGATCTGAGGTGCACTGTCAGTGCGCCATGAGTTAACAAATCCCATTTCACCAGCACACCTACCCTTTAAAAACTAAACACGGTAATAGTCTCATTATTGCGTGATGGTAGAAATAGGTAAGGTGGCAGTATTTCCCTGGACGAATTCTTTCACAAGGAGCTCTGCTGCTATTAATTTGTCTGCCTAAGTTTAAGTAACAAATTACATTAAACTTTAAATTTACTACGTCATTTCTAGCTTAAACTAGGCAAAGTTTAAACTTAAAAACTCAACTGAGCAAGATATGGTGAGACAGGAATATCAGAAACTGAACTAAATTACATCTAATTCGCACTCTTGTCTTCTCCATCTCTATATGGTGCAGAGACATGGACACTGAAAACCGCCGACAGGCAAAGAATTGACGCCTTTGAAATGTGCTGCTAGCATAGAATGTTAAGCGTACCGTGGACAGTCCGCTGCACCAATGTCTCTGTATTTGAGGAACTCAAGATAAAGAATGCACAGCGTCCGTATTCAACTTGCATGCAGAGTGTGATACGCCATTTTGGTCAAGTGGCACGTAGGGATGCTGATAACCAGGAGCGTTTGATGCGGACAGGGAGGGTGGAGGGAAACCTAGGGGCAGGAGTCCCAAAATGTGGTCGAATCAGATGTCCGAACAACAAACTTGGAAAAACTTGCTTAGTTCGCCATTTTTGCCTAGTTGAAGTCGTAGTTTGTTCGTTTTCAAACTCTCAGCCTAAGTGTGGTCAAAGTACATACTTATCTTTACCTACTCTACAACATTTTATTATATTTTATTGGCATATATCGGAAAATCAAATGGACCGTTCTGACGGCTTTTCAATTCAAATGAAATGCCGTAATCAAAGTGACATCACTGGGTTTTATGATAATTTATAACTACCTATTTTTTTTTTATCGCAAATGGACAGTTGCTAATTAATAATAATATGCAACACAGTCACAATAGTAGCCCAGTGGGAAAAAGTTACTTCTCAATTGAGATATCGTCAATTCGAGACCATGTGGCGGTACTTATTTATTTATTGGCAAAATGGTATATGATTATTCTAGTATTTTCTGGACCTTTCTATCTGGACCAAAATGCTGACTTACAAAATATAACCCTTCAAATATTTGAGAATTTCAACATGCACAGACTAAACTTACCAAAACAATGTAAAAACAAAATTATGATTCAAATGAATTAAAATTAAAAATAAAATTAAAGATAGGCTATAAAATTGATTACAATAAATTTAAATAAATCATTTAATATTAAGTTTAAATTACAAAGAAATTATAATACAAGTCATTCATAAATTCGGTGGGCATAAAAGTCAAGATTTCGATTGGGATGAATACGCCACCTTACGGCGAAAGTGGAAGGGCGGCTCGTGGTATATAATCTATGTCTCCTTTTTTTGCACAGGGCATTGTATTTGGTACACATTCTTATAATTGGTGCGTTGCAACCTATATTTGTACGAAAAATCGACGGAGCAAATACTCTACTCTACTTTTCAGTAACTACACAGTTTACAGTAACAGGTAACTTTTCATTTTTAATTAAGTTTTTATAGAATTGATATTCAATTATTTTTTATGAAATTACTCCACTAGTTTGTTATAGCTATTAATACAAAGATCGAACACTTAGAAAAGGCCGGATTCGAGCGGACGTCTTCTAGCAAACAGTGCCAGACGCTATGCCAACTAAGCCACGGAACGAAACAGCTGACTTCACAAATTTTTCTATGTGATTGTTGTCGGGTCTTTGTATCTGGTTTTCAACGACATTTTAGCCGTAGCGCCATCTAAGAGAAATCTATGAAAGTAGTGTGGAGGTGCTGCTGGTGCTGGGGGCGTTCTGGGAGATTGTAATGGTGTGTAGCCTGGATAGCAGTAATAGCCTCCGCAACCTCGCAGCCTCCAACATCTTATTTAGTAAATTTAGCCATTCAAACGTTGAAATTCCAGTTTATAGATATTTAATCGGTTTATTTATTCGGTTTTAACAAATATAATCTTTAAAATGTAAACTGTATAAATATAGCTAGTAAACGATTCAAAAAGATAAATAATGGTCTGTTCGCTACCGCGGTCGCGCAGAGAGTGACGATGGAAAGCAACAAAATCAGAATGCGAGGTAAAATGGAACAATTTTAAATTTAAATATGAGTAGAAGAAGAAAAAAACGATACGATACGAATGGAGAGAGGCGATACAAAAAGGTTCGTCGTCATCCCGACGGTATAAGGAGGTTACACCGTCACAGTACTTCGTCATTCCATTTCTAAGTTACGTAGATTTGTGAATGCAGCAATACCTCTCGCTAAAACCGGTTCATATATCGGATATCAAAAAAGGTTCATTAAATTTGAACTCCCCAACTTGCATTAGATCAACGTCGCGGCGGTGGACCATTGTGATAACACTAACACTAATAACCTGGTCAAACAAATCAAAGAATGCCATAAGTACCTTTGCGGGTACGACGCAGAAGCATTCACTCAAAATATAAATCCTATAAACAAGCGCTTATAACACTAACAGCGGACTGAACTGAAGTGGAAACAGGATTTAAACATTTTTTCAATTTTCTTATTATTTTTAATGTTTGTTTCGAGTAAATAAATATTTTTCGTCTTGTTGACTCATAGTTATTAACTGCCTTCGTGGCCGGACGGTTACCATGCCGGACTGCCACGCAGAGGTCCTGGTTTCGATTCCCAGGTCGGGAGAAATTTACGTGTGAGTTTGGGTGTGATTTGTGGTTGTCTATGTGTGTGTCCATGACACCCGCGATACAGGGTTTCCCTTGTGCGGGGCTATCAGTGTGTTGCGTTATTATTATTATAGTTATAAACAAAATTAATCGGTCAAAAATTTTCAATCTGCCAGCCAAAAATTTTAAATCGATTTTTAAAATTTCGTAATCATTTTTTTTTTGTGTTTGTTTTGGATAGAATAGACCTACGTATTTTTTTTTCTTTTATCTTCTGCGGTTGACAGTTTCCGAGAAAATTAGACTGGAAGATCTTTCAAGGAGCTTTTGTCAAATTTTATCGCTTTGTCGAATTCGTTGAATGTTATCATATACTATATCGTTGAATGTTATCATATACTGAGTATAATCCAAACGAGCATATAACAGTTTGGACTATACTCTAGCCAAATTTTCATTGCAATTACATGTGTAAAGTTTTATTGAAATCAATTAACGGAAAGTGGGCGAAATTCAATAATCTGGATTCATCCCCTAATATGTCACTATTATTAATTATTCAATATTTTGAATTTTGAATTATTACACCTTCCAAAAAAAAAAGAATCATCGAAATCGGTTCACAAACGTAGAAGTAATCTAAATCAAATAAAATCGAATTATGAACCCATTCTTTGTTTGAAATCGGTTAAAAATAGTGCCGTGGCTTACCCAAATTGTGTCCCAAGCGTTTAGAAGAATTTTAGATAATTATCTAACACTGCATGACATCACGCATGTACATTTCACTATAACATTTATTTGATAACCACAAAACTGTTTTATTTACGATTGTCATATTTTATATCAAAACATAAATTCCCTTGGCAACACGACTGCTTTCAAATAAACACAAACAAGAACTGATAATTATTTGTCGGCATCCTTACACCACAACACGCATTCGAATACCATCATTATCCTCATACTCATAAATGTTCATTTTAAATACACAAACAATCACTACATCATGAACATTTAAAAGGAATCGTTAGTCTAGAATAAAATACAAGGAAAAATAAACTGTATCTCTTTAAACTATATCATATTTTAAAATATTGACAGTTTTTATTGCATTACCAACTTTCGTATGCAGTTGGGTAAATCGGCACATGGGACTTATTAACTTATGTCTCAGGGTGACGACGCAGTGGAAGTTCCCCTTAGATCTTTGCGATTTGAAGCTCTGAGTAGCACTGCAACTGTTATGGACAGGCGTGTCGCTTACCACCAGGCGAACGACTTGTTCGTCCCGTCACTTGATATCATAAAAAAACACGCCAAGGAATGGATATTTAGAAAAGCAATTATTATAAGAAATGGTGATTTTAATTAGTCATTTTGAGAACAGTTAATTTGAAAAAAATGTCATATACAAAAGTGGTCATATCATAAAGCAGTCGTAACAAAAAGTGGTCTTATCATAAAGTCGTCATATCATAAAGTGGTCATCTTAAAAATGATGTTGCTAATATTAAGTCATATACATTTTAATCACGTACTTAAATTGTTTAAATGTTTCGCTTCTAGTATGAATATCAGAACGGGTATAAGCTTGGTCTGCCGATACACATTTTGAGGGATAATGTAGGCAGAAGTACCAAAGTAAGCAGGTACCCGTGCTATGAGCATGACACGGTGTTGTTTGTTGACAGGTCAACTACACTACACTTACCGTCGTCACGGCATAAGCAGCAGAATGGGACAGGTGATTTTTTGTGTTTTGAGAGGGATTCCTTTAGAGAAGAGGTCAAAAAAATTTTCAAAGCTCGTCAAATTAAATTTACTCCAATGTAATTTGATACACAATAATAATTGAATCTGAAATTCGTCTGACATCTTAAAACTCTTTCTGACAAGGTTCATTTTCATTTAACGGTTTTTTACAAACTTCATGTAACCGCAATAAATAACTTTGTAATAACGC